AGTCTCTCTATGAAGCTCATGGCCTTGAACACATTATGTAACCCACGCTACCTTTGAACTCATGGTGATCCTCCTGCCTCAGCCTCCCAACTGCTGGGATTACAGTGTGTACCACTTCTGGCTCTTGGAGATAATACTTTGAATCCCCACTGCCCACTTGCCCTGACAACAAACACATCTATCTCTCCAATCTCATAGCCTCTGCCCACAACTAGCACAATGAAATGGTATTTTATTCAACAGACCTGCAGAGTAACTGCATCCCCAAATAAAATCTAGCTGCCCCCCACACCATTTCACAATTAAACAATGATAGTATAATTGGACCTATTTCAAAAGTTTTCTTAAGTAATTTGATGTGCCAGCCACTTTATATTTCAGGCTTTTATTGGCTGAAAAGTCTGTCCTGAAACTCAAACACACCTGTCATCAATTTAAAAAGGACTACTAGAGAACTGTTCAGGAAATAATATCTTTGCTAATTAAGACCACTAGTTAAAAGCTTCCTGTGTATCCACCCAGTTGCCCCAAGGAGTGACCTTTTCCTTCCCTCCTTTGGGCTCATTTTTTCATACACAACTTATATCCTTGGCAGCCTGCAATGACTTCAGTGCAGTTCAGCTAGGGCAGCCAAGGATATGGTAGTGTAGCCTGTAATCCTGGCACTTTATAAGACTGAGGCAGGAGGATTGCAAGTTCAAGTCCCTCCTAGGCAATTTAGCGAGCCCTTGTCTCACAATAAGCCAAAAGATTGGGCATGTTGTAGCTCAATAAGAAGGCCATGGCTTCAATCCCCACCACTAGAAAAAATCAACCAACCAAAATAAAAAACCAAGTACACCCAGTCCTCTCTGCTACTATACCTGGGCACTCATCTGAGTGCCCAAGCAAAGGGTTCCTACTCACCCATCGGATTTCTTCAGGACTTTCCACCTTGGGGAGCATCAGGCTAGAAGGGAGGACCCGGGACTGCAGGATGGCGGCCAGGTCTTCCTCAGCCAGGCCACTGGCCACCGAGCTGACCCGCACACACCTTTCAGCTGGGCCCAGGTCAAAGTCTTCAAGGGCTTTTACTATTGTCAATCGAGCTTCATTCTGTAAGTATCAATAAAAATAGACTCCTAAGTTTAGTCTGATCATTAAGAGAAACACAGGGGCTGGGGAGATGACTCAGTGGAATAAGTGCTTCCCTGGCAAGCATGAGGGCCTGAGTTCAATCACCGGTTCCAAAAAAGAAAAAAAAAAAAAAAAAGAGAGAGAGAGAGAGAGAGAAACACAAGCAAAGGGTCTGTGAAACTATTTGCAATTCAGAGTCTCGACACCATTATTAGCTCTCCAAATTTCCTGTTATACATGATATTAGAAAAAAGTTGCCCAATCTGACGGGTGAGGCACTGGCTTCTAGACTCCACACAGGTAGCCCTCTCATGACTGGGACCCACCATGACACAGCCCAGTGTCTCTCTAATCGTAGTGTCATCTTGCCCATTACCACCCCTTTCCAAATGGGAAGGTGTAATAGGCAGTTGTTTTATTGATTGGGCATTAACTAAGGGTAAACATGGTTCTAAGTTCTTTAACCACAATGTTCTCCTTTCATAAGTAGAAGATCCAGGGCAGAGGCTGGGGAAATAGCTCAGTGGCTTAAGCGTCTGCCCGGGAAGTGCAAGGTCCCAAGTTCAATCCCTGATACCTAAAAACAAAACCACAAAAAAAAAAACAACATCTGGATTGTGGCAGTTTCATCTGTCAGCCAATTCACATTCAGAGAAAAAAAATAAGGATTTGTTTTTTCTTTTCCCCATGTATCATGCTATTTTTACCCCCTTTGTTTTATTTATTTATTTTTTATTTTTTGCAAGTGAGTTGCATCTTGACATTCAATTAATAAGGCACTTGCAGGAATGTGACACTCCACATTACAAGAAAATGTCCCACTTATTCAGGTGGAAGGCAGTAACAGTGCTGAGGAATCCCTTCATGAAAAGCTTGACAAATATGTTTTCTCCCTTTGATTTGACAGACTTTGCTCAACAGTTAAGAAAAGTGGCAAGGTTGGAATTCTGCTTCTTGATTTGAATTATCTCAAGAAAAACTGTATGAGTTCAAATATGATCTTTATTAGGATTGGGTTAGGGACAAAGAAGGTGGAGTGGGGGACAGAAGGATGCACTGAGGGGTGGGGACTGGTGTCAGGAGAAGGAAGGCCCTCGAGGTCATCACTTCCTGCCAATGTCAGTTTCAATACCAAATTCCTCACACTTGCCAACAGCCCTCAACAAATTCACATTGTCAGAACAAACATGTATCAAAAGTAGTTTCATTTTAAGAAGGATTTTTATGGCACAAATAAAACTTTAAAGCTACTCACTGCTCATAATTTTTTTTTTTTTGAGTTTGAACAATATACAGCCATTTGAATAGTAATGATTATCCAGGAAAATAACAAACCAAAAAAGGGGCAAGAAAGGATTATGTGGGGCCAGGGAGATGGCTCAGTAGAATAAGCGCTTGCTCAGCAAGCGCAGGGGGCTGAGTTCAATCCCCGGTCCCTCCAAAAAAGAAAGAAAGAAAGGATTATGTAAGTCAATATGGAGTCTAAGTCTAAAGCAGGACACAGGCCAGGATAAGAGATTTAAACCAGACAGATGTACATCTCTAACCTACTCCCAAATGTGGTCTGAGTTAAATGGTGTGAGGAAACCGTAGCTTAGAGTTGTCAGATTGAATGGAAACATTACCTGGGACCAGCATAGGATGGCTGTGTGGAATCCTGATTTACAGCGCTCCAGCCACCAATAATTAGGCCAAGCTTAGATAAGAGCAAGAGGAGCTCACGCTAGCGAAAGGTAGGAATGTGACGGCCAGCAGTGTGCATCTACCTCACGCCCTTGGCTGTTCGACAGCTATAGAGCTCCTTTACCCATGTGCAGTGCCAACGTTCTTCGCACCACCAGGTAGGAACGCATGAAAGCGAAGGCAGGTGTTAGCTCAGCAAGGAGAAAATGCTCCTGCATTGTGTCAGCCTCTGGATCCGAGGCCTGGAAGACCCAGGCAGCTGTCAACCCTGGAGCTCTCTACTTACAAACATTCTAACCCCCAGGTTCTCATCCACAAGCAAGTCAGCCTTCACTGGGCAGTATGGCGTGAGCCTGTAATCCCAGCACTCTTGAGAGGCTGAGACAGGAGGATGAAAGATTTGAGCTCATCCTGCCAATATAGTGACTTAGTATGAGCCTAAATAAATGAGTAAATAAATAATGATGGATGTAGCTCAGTGTGAAGGCTGTGGGGTTTACTTTTTAGAACAAAAAAAAAAAAAAAAAAGAAAAGAAAAGAAAGAAAGAAATCAAGTAATCAAGTCAGCTCTGCAGAAGGTTTATTAAGATAGAATAAATGGAAACTAGAAGGGAACTCAACAGGCCAGGGAGACTGAGACGCCTCCGACAGCTGGAATTACTGGAACCATCCTCTCCCCTTTCTTTTAATGTGACCTCAGAGCTGTTTTGTGGTTTCCCTTGGATGTGAATGGGACTGTTTGTTCAGAGCTCGTGTTCTAAACCTATTTGTGAATTTTATCTCAAGTTTGATTGCCATGGTTTCGGCACATTCCAGTTTACTTAGGAAAATTCAGCCCTTGCAAAATTGGCTGCAAATGAAGTCCCTAACTCCAATTTTGGGCATAATCTGATTAGTACTTTTCATGTTATAATGAGCAGTGAATGCTCAGCATTTTATTGGGCTTCTTTATTTGGGCTCAGAATTAAAGCCAAGCTCTTTCCACTTCATCCCTCAGTACCTTTCCAAAAAGAGGCGATGTCTTTGGAGGTGTATTGCCACACGACGCATTTATTAACAGCCTGTTGCTTGTTAGAATTTACATAAACCAAATATTCGTCCCTCTGGTCTGCATCCCAAAATATCCAACAACTTCATGAATTTACACCAACCGACAGGCATGTTGGTGCTTTCTTTCTGGTGTTTTAACGGTGAAATGCATTGCTGTGCTAGCAAATACATCCATGCCGTCTGTCAGGCTACGATGAGTGAAGGCAGTCTCTAAGAACCATTAAGTTTCGGGCTGGTTGCTCAGTGAGAAAGTCACAGTCCACCCAGAAGTGAAAAGAAAGCAGTTCTGTCCCTCCTCCTCCTCCTCCTCCTCCTCCTCCCTCTCCCCTTGCACGGTTCCTGCTCACCTGCTTATCTCCATCTCTCCACCCATCCTGTTTTGCTTGTTTCTTTCTCTGGACTGTCCCTCTGGAGGTGCCTGGCAGACACCTTCTCTCAGAGGACCCTCAGAGTGGCCTGCTGGGCTTGGGGGAGCCATGTTCCTGGGGTCAGAAGGAAAACGGAATGGAAGTAAAGAAGTCACCAGAGAAAGAACTTTGCAGGATCTTGCCTCCTGGAAGCAAGGTGGGGTGTTCTCGATGAGTGCCCAAGGGGACTTTATTTTCAAATATCTCACTATAGGACAGCCTTGTCAAAGTGTCCTCTGTGGAATGAATTTGTCCCCTTGAGATCTGACAAGGTGGAAAAGACTGAATAATTGAATTAAGCGCTTTATCAATAGTTCCAGGAGAGCTTTGAGGAGACAACCTGTCACCATCCATTCTGCATCAGGTTTGACCCCAGCCTTTTCAGAGGTTGCAAAGATGGTAAGCACAGCTTGGAATCTTTGCAGAATGATTCTAAAAAAATGATGTTCCTAGCTGGGGATAGAGCTCAGAATCATAGCACCTACCCAGCAAGTGCAGGGTCCTGAGTTCGATTCCTAGTACCAAAAAAAAAAAAAAAAAAAAAAGATGTTCCTCAAATTTCCACACCTGATCAATATTTCATGCCAGGGCTGCTCAATGTAGTGGACCAAGGGCTAATAAACTTGTCCCTATCTATAAGCCACCATACTATGCAACTGTGTCTGGGCCAGGAACCAAGGAGTGCTCTGATTTCAGAGACTGGATTCCTGTCACCTGCAGAGGAGACACGCTTGGGTGACGTCAGAAAGCAGATAAATCAACCATCACCAAGACCTGCAGACTCTGAAATTAAAGGAGAAAATATGCGTGCAGTCAGTTCAATTGGCACCCATTAAAGCTAATAACTAATCATCCTCGTAAGTTTCTAGCTCAGAATGATCAAATCTGCAAAGAAAACAACATCCGTCCACTTTTACACTCCAGTGGAAGAGGTGGTCCCGCACGGCGGGGTGGCACAGTCTCCCATCTGGAGAATAAATCGAGTGTGAAGTACAGTATAGTTTGGGACCAGGCTCCGTGGCGGCAGCGCAGCAGTCAGTTCATTAGTTCCAAACTTCCAGGGATTAGAACAGCATCAATTCTACTGTCAGATAGGATGAGACAGACAGGACACGAAAGGCAAGGAGGACAGACACTGAGGGCAGCTCCTTGGGTTTATTTATACAGTGATAATGTATAAACACATCCAAATAAATGCTTTAAATAATAGCATTATCACAGTTTCATAACATCTGAATTAACACCTTGCCCTTCAAATTCCAGCCTGCTCCCCAAACCTCGAAAGTTAATATCAGTAGGTCTGGAGGAAATCACAAAGACAAGCCCCGGGTGCAACAGGAGCCAGGAGACAGCTCCGTGGCCTGGCCAGGGTTTGGGGAGGTGAAATAGGAAGGATTTCTAGACCCTAGGGACACATGCTACAATTTTAATTTCATAGACTTCTCATATATATCATATAAAATGTTTTTTTCACATTTTCATCCTGCAAATGGCAAATTGCCATGCCATGTGTTTAGAAACACTTGTGAATTCTTTTCTAGCACACCTGATCTCATTTCCATCTTACCTAATATGTGAAACGGCCTCAGCCACAGAGTGGTCTCACTTTTGAGAAGACCCTGCTGTCAGCATCCTTATGAAAACATTCAAAATTTCAAGGTCACCTGGTTTAAAATAAACTTAGGGAATTTTTTTCCACGTAAGGATCTCCTTTTTTACACAACTGCTTTTTACATATTTATATTTAAAAGACAAAGTACCTGTGACATAAAAGAAGTCATCACTAGTAAAGATTCTTTTTCTCTTATAAATGTATCAAAATTATAATGATTCAGAGAC